GCAACCTTAGATTGCGTCTTAAGAATAACATTGTTTGACGTGTTTAGACTGGAGGCTGAGAGATTTAGGATGAACTCTGTTATCTTTTTCCTTTGAAGAGCGCTTATCATCCTTACCCAAACTGGCTATGGGTTTAGATTTGCCCAGGATTTGCAGTTCTGCGGGAAAATTATATTTATACAGAATGACAGCAGAGGGAGAGTGTGGAAACCAGGAATTGTTCTCTACTGGAGGACCTGTAAGAGAATGGGTCATCCAAAACAGGGGATATTGGTAATGGAGATGACGTGTGTCCCTGGCAGCCGGAGCCCTGGGTGCTTGCAGAGTGTCTGCCATAACCTACATTTCCAAAACCAGAAGCCGGGAGTATCACCACAGGACCCTTTCTATGGGGAGTAGGGGAGGTAACACCAGTATAGACTATTCACGAGCTGGTATAGAGAAGCAATAAATTAAGCATTGTTGTGCATTTCTTAGTAAGGTCGGTCCTCACAGTAATCGAATAGGAGCTGAAGTCATTAGTTCTGACATAGGCAAAATCCAAGGGTAATGGGTTCTTTCAGTTAATGTATACAGAGGTGCAAGGAACATACATGCATACACACACACCAAAGCAACAGTTTTAACACCCAAAGTTGGGTCATTTTGCAATCATAGCAGACTGATATGCAAAGAAATTCAGGAAGCAAAGGGAAAGTGGCGCATCAGTGCGTATAAGGTAAAACCATCAATATCTCTGTAAAGACATTTGTCCCATGGGTGGACCTGGCAAATTGCTACTTGTGGCTTCTGCTCTGTGGTTTGAGCAAAACATAGAGACAACTGTGGACTTCAGTGAACCATGATAAACCATTCCCAGCTTGAATTTGTTCTCTGTTGACTGAATGCCACAAAACTACTGTATAGATCTCACTTTATATTTATTTACTGTTTCACGTGCAGTCTTTAAGGAATTACAGCATTTTGTTTGCTCACAAAATAAGGAAAGGCGTTGAAGTGACAATTTAACCAGCATATATATATGTACTTACTTCAGAAACACGGAGAGATTTGTTTCTGTATGTAGAAAAAAGGTCAGTAACCAGAGTGGATTGATTTTAAACCCATGAATTAAAATAAGTTATTTAAATGTGCTTTGTATCAACAAGCAAGAAACTTGGTGCAAATAATTGAGTTTAGTCCTGTTTTGAATTTGTACTTTCTAGTCATTTTCCAAAGGATAGGTTGATTCTTACTGGTCTTTAACACTGGAAAAATTGTTGATATCCAACTAAATGCATAATTTTGGGTGGTATTTGGTACTTTTGTGTGCAGATATGAGAGACAGACTTTCTTTTTTGTATGATTTATCTGATTCAGTATGTTTGCTCTGATCTAGATTTTCTAGGTCTGTAAATACAAAAAGCATGTATTTTTAATTAGGTATTTAGCTTTCGCTTAAGTTTCATTTAACCTCTAGTTTGGGTACAATTAATTAAATTTAAAACCCCGCAAAAGCAGTGCTTTTGTTAGCTCGGCCCAAGAAATTAAAAATACAAGTACATATTAAAAAGATTTAACAAGGCATCTTTTGAATACAGCTCCCTTTGTAAGCAGGGAAAGTATTCGTACATTCAGAAATGTATGGTCCTTTAGATATGCAAGGATGATACTTACTAGTACTGGGTTTTAGCTGGTTGAAGGAAGAAGCTAACATTTCCTTATTCACTTTAAATGATCGGGTTGTTAAAATTAACAATGCAAACCAAAAGTAAGACACAGTTCTCTGTAGCCCTAGAAGAGATGATTGCTGTCAAAAGCTGCTTTTAGCACTTCAATATACCCTGTTTTCAGGTTGTCTTCTGATAATTAAATTCCATGAGCCTTTTCAATGCAGTTTGCCTTCATAGCAAACATGTACTGGCTTAACATGACTGCAACATTCTTTTTGATTATTTTAATACTTTATATGAAGGCCTAAACCTCAACATTTATTGCTCTCATTCCAAAGGTAGTACTAATTAGGGGTTTTAGTGTTCTTTGGCTTTTAAATGACACTTTTTGACTTCTAATTGCTCTCTCCATTTCGATAAGAATCTTTGTAAAAGGAAATTCCTTAAAGTAGAGCAACCATGGCTTATTTTGAGGGTTCAATCGGAACTAGAGAACTGCATAATTAGGTGTTTAGGTTAGTCATGTACATTTATTCAACCCAAAACTTCAGGGCAAATTTGAAACTGTGACAGAGTAGACTAATGCCATTAAGTGATTGATAGGGAGACCTTTAAAGGCTTTGTAGCCTGTTTTGCACTGATGAGAAAGCTGCTTTGCTGAATTTGAGCTGTCTGTGACTTTCCTTGACTATTCAAAAGCACTTTAACTCTCTTCTACCAAGTGTACAGCTAAACTCTTGGAGACAGCTAGGTGTCAGGTTAGAGGTGGCCTCCCTTGCTTTTTCCCTTCTGCTGGTTGAAGCGGGTAAACTGGCCAAAACAAACCAAAAATCCCTAATCCTACAGAAAAGGTTGTTGAGAAATGAAATGATAGCTAGTGCTGGTGGAGACAGTAAAGAAGGACTGCTCCTTCTGGTGATCATCAGCTGGTACAGTGCTTATCTATGTTACAAAACAGCCCTCCCTACAAGCAGTTGTGCGTGCTCTTCTTCCCTAAAGCACTTAGGTGTAAACCTGATTAGCTGGTAAATCATAGTAAGTGTGTTCTGTAGTGTCAGGTGTTGGAGAGATGTGATCTAAATACTGCACAGAAATGGATAATTCACAGTTGTTGCCAAGAAGGAAGTCAGAACTTCTTAGGTTGTTCATTTCAGGGAGGGGAATTGAATATGGGGTGACAGTCTCGTTAGAAGCAGTATTCTCATTTATTTCTTTGAAGAGCATGTGCAAACATCAAGGTTAAGGTCATAACAGTATTACCATGTTCCCACCCCTTTCATTCCTGGGTCTTTAAAATAAAATCCACCAAGGTGAAACAAGGAACTGGGGTAAGAGTAGAAGCTGAGGTTAATTTTAACTTGATCAGGCTGAGACAATCCACCATTCTGTCTATCATTAACGTAAGATTACTTTGCTTTCTGGTTAGGAATGAACAGAAACCTTTATTATGTATTAGAATCATGGAATAGTTTGGGTTGGAAGGAACCTTTAAAGGCCATCTAGTCCAACCCCTGCTGCAATGAACAGGGACACCTTCAGCTAGGTCGGTTGCTCAGAGCCCTGTCCAACCTGACCTTGAATGTTCCCAGGGATGGGGCATCAACCACGTCTCTGGGCAACCCGTTCCAGTGTTTCACCACCCTCATTGTAAAAAATGTCTTCCTTATATCTAGTCTAAATCTACTCTCTTTTAGTTTAAAACCATTACCCCTTGTCCTATTGCAACAGACCCTGCTAAAAAGCCTGTCCCCATCTTTCTTATAAGCCCCCTTTAAGTATTGAAAGGCCACAATAAGGTCTCCCTGGAGCCTTCTCTTCTCTAGCTTCTCCAGCTCTCTCAGCCTGTCCTCGGGAGAGGTGCTTCAGCCCTCGGATCATCTCTGTGGCCCCTCGTCTGGACCCGCTCCAACAGCTCCATGTCCCTCCTGTGCTGAGGGCTCCAGAGCTGGACGCAGTACTCCAGGTGAGGTCTCACCAGAGCAGAGTAGAGGGGCAGAATCACCTCCCTCAACCTGCTGGGCACGCTGCTTTTGATGCAGGTTGAAAGAAGAGCCGTGTTCTGTGAAGATCTGTGTGGACTCTGTGCTGTAAAATGACAGAAATGCAGCACCTACAGGCAGAAGGAACTGCTTGTTGCAGCACGTACCTCCATCTTGTAACAGCCCAGAGTTTGAAATAAGGGGCTTATCACTGAACGGCTTTCATGTGGGAGAGAAAGTACATGTGGAGCGAAAACCTGATGTCTGGCACCATACACCCAGAGATTTTTAATATGTGTGAATGGGTTGCTTTCGTGATGAAGAGGGAGAAGCGTGCGTCTCAGTGAAAAACGTGACTGGCAAAAGCTTCGTTTGTTCACTCCCCCCTCCCCAGCAAATTGCCTGAAAGTGGATCATAAACAGCAATGCATCATTACTATTATCTCCCGGTATGACTCACTGAGCCATATATAGCGGCTCGTCTTTTGAGGAGAATTCTTACTCAGAGCAAGTAGGATGTGGAAACAAATATTAAATGTCAGACTGTTACATCACTGTAGCATTAGAATTTCTTTCGTGGCAGATAAAAATGTCTAAAAATGGCTTGAACAGCAATCCCTGTCTGCATTAAGCAGGTATTGTCAGGTTAAAAATCCTCATTAGTTTTCTCCTGATTCGATGCTCTTATTTTCATAATATTTATCTCTTTGTTGATTGCACTAGCAAATTATTTATCTGTGTTTGTTGATTGCACTAGCAAATTATTGGATATTTCAGTGGATTGGATTGCTGGTAATGCAAGGTAGCAGGTGGCTTTTGGAGCATGCTTTGGGCTCTTTTTACTTTGTATTTTTAAGAGCTCTCTCCCTTTGATTGCCTAATCATGCCCCAAATTAATTATCTGTGATTTCTTTCTGTTCTCTTTTAGTTGTAAAGAAACTGCTTGTGAAATCCAAGTAAGGCTTGTAATGTCCTCCTTTTAGAAAGATTGCCTTTCTGTAATACTAGCAGCATCCTCCCTCCATATTTTGCATTAATTTAGTACCTTGAAATGTAGACTGCTTTTCTTGCTGAGAAAGCCTAGCCAGGGCTTTCTTCAGGGCTTCAGCCTCTCTGTCCTTATCCCCAGATGAACTCTAGCCTGAGGATCCAGAGCTCTGTTTTTCTGGTGCTGTTGCCAGTGTCAGTTTTGTTCTATGTCTACTGCTGTAGTAAAGTACTGCATTATTTGTTTATGTTGCATGTATGTTGACTCAGCTTTCACTTTAAAACAGCACTCAAGATTTTTAAAGATGCACTGGGAAACAAGAATCCTTTCTTGGGTTTTGTGATATTGATAACACTGACAAAGCTGCGTTAGTAAAATAAATATTCCTCTGTTCTGTTACAGGTTTTGGGATTTGAAGTTGATACGGTGAACTCTGTCCAGTTTTCAAATCACACAGGTAAAATTTTACATGTGTCTTCAGATACCACTCCACAGTCACTCAGCTCTTCTCAACATGTGGCTCACCTCATCACATGACAGTGGAAAGGAGATCGGTCTTATGTTTTCACTCAGATTTGCAGGATATGGGACAGAAATGTAGTTTTCCTGTCTTGATTCAAGTCTCACAGAAGTCTGGATTTGGTATTAGGACATAATATGACATGGTAATGTTCTGTTCTGCTACATCGGAGTGTGACTTTATTTTGTTAGTAATCTAATTAGTGAAATAACACAGATATGGCTGACCTGGTTTTGGCTGGAATAGAGTTAATTTTATTTCTAGTAGCTGGTATAGTGCTGTGTTTTGGATTTAGGATGAGAATAATGTTGGTAACACACTGATGTTTTCATTATTCCTGAGCAGGGCTTACACAAAGTCAAGGCCTTTTCTGCTTCTCACCCCACCCCACCAGTGAGGAGGCTGGGGGTACAAAAGAAGTTGAGAGGGGGAACAGCCGGGACAGCTGACCCCAACTGACCAAAGGGATATCCCACACTGTATGACGTCATGCTCAGCATATAAACTAGGAAAAGCTGGCCAGGGGTCTGCTGCATCGGTCAGTGGGTGGGGAGCAATTGCATTGTGCATCACTTCTTTTGTATATTCTTTTATCATTATTATTATTTTCCATTTCTTTTCTGTCCTATTAAGTTGTCCTTATTTCAACCCACAAGTTTTACCTCTTTTTTTTTTTTTTCTTTTTTTCTTTTCCCAGTTGTCTCCCCCATCCCACGGGGGGGGGTGTGAGTGAACAGCTGTGTGGTGTTTAGCTGCCTGCCAGGTTAGACCACAACAACGTCCATCTACAGGCAGGCCTGTGAATGGGAGAGTCTTCAATAATGTTTTCTCTGCAGTATGGCCCTATGACACTCATAATCATATTACCAACCCAAATATCAGAAGTATACTGACCTAGATGCAACGTTTCATCTCTTTATATGCCCATCCAGAAGGCTAGCAGTTAACCTGAAATTACATTCTGGAAGGAGGAAGAGGGTGGGGTGTTAGTACATTTGGGTTCTAAGCCTGAACATGATGCACTCTTACTGTGTTTTCAGAATCCCTGAACACTCACAGTGCTAGGGGACTTTATTTTTCAAAAGAAAGCTGAAATTTATATTTATTTTAGCAATACCTTTCACCCATAAAGGAGCTCCAAGTGTCTTGCTCTTTTTGAATCAATAGAGACACATCTACTGTCACGGTGGTGGCAAGTTGTTTGAGCAGAGATCTACTCTAGATAAAGAAATTCTAAGGGTGTCTTAAAAAATAAAAAAGGAACAAATTCTGACTTTAACATCTTGTAAAAGAGCAAAAAATTGTTTCTGACGAAGAAAAAAAAAAAAAAAGACAAAAGTTGAGATACTTCCCTAGTATCCAGGTACAGCTCTGTTAATAAACTGCTGAATTTTTGGAACAGAGAGCAGACAAGGAAGCCTCTGTCCTCTCTTACTATGTTGAGCTCCATGCAGCTTTCAGAAGGTTACAAGATGTTCCTGTCATGGAAGGAATTTAGTGTCACCCTGGGAAGAAGAAAATAATGTTTCAAGGGTAGCTAGAAGTCCATGTCTGCTGTTGAGGAAAGGCATGAAAGAGGTAATAATTAAACAAGGGGTGGGTGTCTTTCCTGGCTCAGGCAAAAAGCTGCTTATTCTGCTTGTACCTGTTGGCACAGTACAAAGGTTCTCTCATGTTTTTAAGAGATGTTTTGATGTGACTTATGTTTCTTTAACGTATTAAGTTTTGGAGTTTGGGAATTTTGTTGTTTTGTTTTTGACAGCTGGTTAAAACTGTTGTAATCTTCCAGAAATGAAGCAATTTTTTCACGTGAAATAACTTGGCGCTCAAAATGTATGAGCACCTGTCGTTTGTTGGCTTTTAGTTTCAAGATTAAATTGGCTTTATAGGGTGTTAAAAGAGCTTAATAGAGTTTTTATTGGACCATAAACTGAATGTTTCTGAAGGTAGGAGAATTACATTACCAATAGGATGACCAGGTTCTTAAAACGGAAAAGAGGGAAGATTTTTTTTTTTTTTTTTTTTTTTAATAAAAATTTTTTTTTTTTTTTTTTAATAGAATCACAGCTGGAGAAGGGTTGCCAGGGCTTCATTCAAGGTTTGGCGAGCAATGAAGACAGTAGAAGGAACAACAAATTGGTGGTTTCTCCCCTCTCTCTTCCCCAAGAAAGCCTAAAAGAACATCCCCAAACTAAAACTGTCTCAAAGATCACAAGTCTTTAAAATATTTGGAACTTTTATTTTGTCTCCTGGTGTTTAGGAGTCACATTATCAAGCTTTTTCTGTAATCTTGATTGCCTTAGTAAATGTGTTAAAAAGATCCCAAAGGTTGGTGCACAACCTCATGGCTTTGGGAAGCAGAGCTTTCAGAAAAGAATCACAATACAGTTAAGTGTTTGGCACTTGCCAAGCATGAGTAAAAGAGAATGTATTTAGAAGTATTGGTCGTTTGGCTGAAAGAAGAAGGAATGGAAAAGAAAGAAAGGGCACATACTCCTTTTTATGACAGGTCTAGTTTTCTAACACTGCAGTTCATCCATGAAATCCTTTCTACCCTTTCTTAAATCGAAGGATAGATTCTAGGCCCAGTGGCTTTGTGCCTCCTCTTTGAGAGGGGCGTGTAGGAACATACGGTGTCCTCATATGAAGACTTTTTCAAGTTTGAACATTTACGCATGCCTGCCCACAAACTTGCACCAGTACCTGCAAATCAATGTACGTGCAGTCTGTGCCACTGCAGGGATTAACGAGCAGAAACTGCTGTGCTGGGCTGTGTCTTGTGGTCGTGGTTTAACCCCGGCTGGCAACTCAGCAC